GCAGCGCCTTTTATCCCCGCCATCTCTCAGCGCTTCGCGCGTTTGACTGCCTCTTTATACAGTGGTGCTGTTATTTACTCTGCTGCTGAAATCCAGACACCTATGAAGATAAATGTGGCAGTTGTTTAAATGATTCACGGCTCAACTTGGTGTCAGTCTGAAATCAGAGCCCCTCGTCGTGCAGCTGAGAGGGAGAAGGTAATTTAATTGCTCGGGTGCGTAACAGGCAGCGAGGCGCACGGGGTGGTTGGGTTTATCCAGGCTGGATTATCACAGGGGACAAACCCTCTGCGAAAACAGGGGCAGAGCCACCCACCTGCGTGGCACAGCCTTTTTTACACCCTGCATGGATGCAGGGAGCAGGGCTCTGCCCCCAGCACCTCTCGGGGGCTTTGCCATCCAGCCCCAAACGGCATTTTCTGGGTCATCGCAAGCAGCTCTCAGATAGCCTCATTCAGAAAATGACCGGACTCTATTTTAAAGCCAGTCGGATGCTTTCCCTCCCCCTGATCTCCCCACACACCATTTTTTTTTTTTTTTTTTTTTTTATCAGGAGGCAGCTTCAAAATCTCCCTGAAGGTTACGGTCTTTATTCCCCAACCAGATTTATTTGCAGGCAGTTTAAACCCCGTTTGTTCCCTCGCTGAATTATCTCGAGCACAAAGATACCAGAAGCTTTTAAATAAAGCACAACTGTCTCAGAAACCGGAGAGAGCAAATGAAATTGGAAATAATTGGAACCCAGCTATCTTGGCTCAAACTTAGCGGCGAGACTTGTGGCAGGAGAGCCGGTTTTTTTTTTTTTTTTAAGAGGAGGGGAGGAGAAGAGCAGGGCTCAGCACATCAGCTGTGATGTCCTGAGTGATGCTCCTCGGATGGGACCGGTCCCAATACTGGTGTAAAGGAGGCTGTGTGACCGTGCCGTGCCGCTCCCTGCCTGGGTAGGTGAAAATCGTGGTCAAAATATCACAAAAAGCGAGCCCACATGTTAGGAAATGCTCTTCTGTGCTGGGAACAACAAATCCCTGGCCTGGTGTGGGCAGGGTCCTGGTGCAGAAGCGCAGGGATCTCCTTGTGGCTGCTGTCCTGAGGGAATGATGTGCACAAGGGATGAGCTCAAAGCACCCCGTGCCTGTTACCTGTGCGTCTTATGAGTAATTTGTCTCTGAAGCAGAGGCGTCGCTTTTCTTTTTTTTTTTTTTTTCTTTTTTTTTTTTTTTTCCTCCTGTGAAGTTGTTTCTCTTCCTCCAGCTTATTTCGGTTTCCTCGCAGCAGGAGGGGAAGATGAATTCCCAGCTACCAGCAGCTCATCGCTCCTCACGCAAGAGTCCGGTTAATTGATGGTGTGGAAGCTTTGTTTTTTTCCTCGCCGTTAAAAAAAACAACCAAACAAACAAACAAAGTGGAAAACCGAGCTGCAGTATGGCAGGGAGAGCTGGAGCATTGCAGCCCATGGGGATGCTGCTCGGGAAGCCGGCCCTGGCTGCTGCATTTCTTGTCTCACTGCTGGCTGCCAGCACTAGGGGATGCCTCTTGCCCACCCGTGTCACTGCTCGTGGGGCAAAGAGGAGATTAATGCTTCATAGGGAGATTTTAGGAGGTGGGTGGAAGAGTGTCTCGTCCTGTCCTTCTCGGGCAGGGCAGGAGGAGAGGGCACGGGGCCCTGGCTGGGAGCAGGAAGGCTCTCAACGAGAGCTGGGATGCGTGGGGAGAAGGTGCAATCCTTCCAGAGATGCAGTGGTCCTGCCAGAAGTGCTGGGGCTGGGAAAACTGCTCCTTATGGGGAGCTGCTGCTCCGGTGCCCCCTCCATCCCACCTGCCTCCATCCCACCTGCCTCCATCCCTCCCCACCTGCCTCCATCCCTCCCTGCATCCCACCTCCTTCCATCCCAACACCCCCCATCCCTCCCTGCCTGCATCCCTCTCTCCATCCCACCTCCATCCCCCCATCCTGCCCCTAATCCCCTCCCCTATTTCCTTACCCTCCCACCTTCCCCATCCCATCCCATCCCATCCCATCCCATCCCATCCCATCCCACCCCCCTGCATCCCTCCCTCCCCGCATCCTTCCCCATCTCCTTTCCCCTCCCCACCCCCTGGCACCCCCTCCTCGCCCCCTCCTTACCCCCTTCACCCCCTCCTTTCCCCACGACCCCCCTCCCCACCCCTTGCCCACCCCCCCCCGACGCCCCCCGCCCCCTGCACTTCCCCCGCTGGCCGCCGGGGGCCCGGAGCCTCCGGAGCGGGGCGGGAGCAGCAGCGGCAGCCGCGGGCAGAGCCGCGCCGTGGGCAGAGCAGCGCCGCCAGGTAGGGACCACCGGGGGCTCCCCCCGCATCCCACCGGGAAAGGGCTGGGGGGGGGGCTGCACCCCCATATATCCACCCCCCCACCTCGGGGGTCGCAGCTCCGGCCAGGGGGTGCGCACCCGAGACCCCCCCCCCCCTCTCCATCATACCCGGGGGGAGCCGCTCGGCTCGGCGCTGAGACGTGCCCGGGGGCGGCGGCTGGTGCTGGGGGGTGCCCACCTTTTTTGGGGGGGGGGGCTCGGCTCGCTTCCCCCCCCCTCCCCACCTTCGTGTTGTTTTCCGCAGCGTTTTAACGCGGCGAGAGTTTGCGCCGGCTTTGGGGAGAGCTGAAGTTGAGGGAGTGCGGGCTGGGGGGGCGCAGGGGGGGGCGCAGCTCCCGGGGCTGAACCCGGAGACCCCCCCGGGGACCCTCGGCAGAAGCCCGGAGCCGGTCGGGGGCTGCCCCCTGAGCCCCCCGGTGCTGCTGCCCAGCCCGGCTGCCGTGGCCCTGGGTGCAGGGAGGATGCTCTGCTGCAGGCATCCTGCCCCGGCACACCAGGATTTGGGGTTTGGGGTCTGGGGGCGCGTTCCGGCGGAGTTGGGGCTCGTGAATAATTTAGAACATGCCAGGCGCTCGTGGCGTGCGCAGACGTGCGGGCTCGCTGCTGGCACAGGCTCTCGTAAATGAACCCACTGTGGGGGCGAACTCCGCGCGGGGACCTCTCCCTAGGCCCAACTTCATCCCAGGATTTGGGCACTGCCCACCTGAGATGCCCCAAGCACCGTCCGACACCCACCAGCCCTCCCCTATTTCCCATCCCCAGCCTGGCAAGACCGAACCCCAAAGGCTGAGACCCTCGGGGAAGTTCCCCCCCAAACCGCTCAGCCCCGCTTCGCCTCCCCCACGTGCCCCCATGGCAGCGAGGCGCTCCCGGAGCATCCCCGGGGCCCTGCTGCTGGTGGGCAGCGATGCTTTGTCTGCCCCCAACCCCACCAACCCCTGCCAGCTGCGATCCCTTTGTCTCCCTGAGCTTCTCCTCCCAGGTTGGGGGCAGCAAGGACGGAGCCGTCCCGGGGGTGCGAGCATCCCCACGGAGCCGCCGGTGCTGCCGGGGCCAGGACGTGCGTGCTCGCAGGTAGGAGGAGGAGGTTTTTTGGGCTCGGTGCTTTTCTGCTGTGGTTGGTTTCGTTCTTCGTTTCAGCACTTAACAGGAGCGTGCTCTCCGGCAGGAATCTGCAGTGAGGCTCCCACCACGCCAAGGCGTTTTTAAAGCGTCTCGCTGCAAGCCTGCCTCGGGGTTTGGGCATTTGGGGGTTTGGAGGGAGCCGCCTGGGCAGAGGGATGGATGTGGAGAGGCTGAAGCTTTCCCCGCCGGTTCCCATTTGGGAGTCGGGGCTGATCAGCAGAGCCAGAAGTTGGGAAAGTTGCCGTGCAGCTCGCTCGGGTTCGCAGGGGTTTTCCTTGCTCCTGCCCGGTGTTAATCAGAGCCGTGGGCAGGGAGCTGTGCCCGGGACGTGGGGCAGGGGGAGCCGGCAGCCTGCGTGAGCAGGAGCACAGCTGTAGGTTTGGCACAGCGAGCGCTCCTCCTGCCTTAAAACAGCCATTTCAGGCAGCCCCGCTGGGGCTGGTGACACTGGTGGCACCGGGCAGCCCCGAAACGAGGTGCTGGGGTGGCTGGGGGGGGGGCAGAGGGCACGGATGCGGGGTGAAGGCAACCAAGGGACCCCGAGCAGAGCCGCCTGCAGCTCGGGCAGAGGCTGTGCTGCTGCTGCCCGCTGGCTTCTTCTTGCTGGAGATTTCTTTTTGCAAACGGTGCAGGGAAAAGAAGCCAAGGAGCGCTGCGGGCTGGCAGAGGCCTGGGGGCACGCGGCGGGCAGGGGGGTGGCAAGGCTTTGGGGAGCCCCGCGGGGACCAGGCAGGTAGGTATGGGGACGTGTGGGGGGGCTGGCTGGGAACGGGGGTCTGTGGGGGTGAGCTGAGGGTGGGGAGGGGAAAAGGGGACGAGCACAGGGGTGACAAAAGCTGTAAGGGACTGGGTGCGTGCTCAGGAGCAGATATTGCTGGGCTATGCGGGCAGAGAGCTCACCCCTCCGACAAACTTCTGCTTCCTTGAAGCCCGTTTGAGCTTCATTTCGCATTCGGTCGGTGCCGAGGCCGTGCAGGTGCTCAGTGCCTGGCCCTTTCTAAAGGCTTGCTGCTGGGGCTGGGCTGTGGGTATCGATTCTCCCTGACCCTGGGGGGAGATCTCCGTGCACGGCTGTCGGTGGGGTCAGATTTTGTTTTGCAGTAAGCAGAATGTGAGACGGGAGTTTCTGTAAGTCTTCTCTTTTAGTGGCTTCGTGGTGAAAGCTTTCTGTAGGAATGGATCTCCTGGCTTTTGGCTGTGAGGAGGAGACTGCTGGCACTGCTGCAGAGCTGCTTCTGTGCACAGGGGAGCACAAACTCCGCTTTGGCTGCCTGGCTGCTCCCAGCAGAGGCACCGACATGGTCCTGGGTCCTTGGATGGGAGAAATGAGGGGCCAGGGGAGGAGAAAAAGAAGTTGCAGGACCCATGAGGAGGTGCTGGAGGTTCCTTGCAGCAAGTTTCCACCTGCCCTGTGGGTCAGGGGCTGGAAGGGCAGCAAACACAAATGCTTTTTGCTTGTAATGGACCACAGGTGCTGTAAATCTGTAGGTCCCAGGTGGTTCATCCAAGGGCCCTGAGTAAATGGGGTGAAATCACAGCAGCTGTTGGCAAAAGGGATGGCTCTGACCCCATGGGGCACTACAAGGCACGGTCCCAAGCGATCAGAGGGAGCTGCCAGGTACCCCAGGAGTGGTTTTACAGAAATCAAGCAAACCTGAGCAAGGATATGAGGCAGGTATGGTAAAATTATCACTAAAATATTCTGATGGGTCTAACCTCTGTGGTCAAATCACCATCGCTTATGAGAGGACGGATGTGCAGCAGGGAAACCTGCCTGGTGCTGCTGGCGGGTTGGGAGGTTAATGAAAGGGGAACCGAGGACGTACCGACAGACCTCATTTATTTGGATGTTTTCATTACATTCAGCCCAAAGAGACTATTTTAGGAAATAAATAGCAAAATGCAGGCAATAAATAGCTGGGTAAGGGGAAGAGTCCGGAGCCAGCTTTCCTCGTTAAGCTCTAGGAAACAGAAGTGGAATGGAGGAGCGCAGACAGGTGATTATGGGAAGGTTCCTCGTGCTGAGGCTGGGTTTATTTGTTATCCTTAATGATTTGGAGGTGGAAATGGATCAGAGCTCGGTGAGAGACAGAGAGCATGCCAAGGGAAAGGGCTGGATTTGCTGCTGAGCGTTTGGAGGAATGAACAGGTAAGGCTGCCACGTTTGAGCACGCCAGTGGTTCGGGCTGTGCTCGGGTCGTAACTCAGCCTGGAGCACCCCAAGCGTGTGAAAAAGGAAAAACTGGAACAAATGGGGCTTTTTTCTTGCTGGTGTGGCCAGTGGTGCTTCTGTGGGGCTCTGCCAGGAGAAGGAGGGGGGACAGGAGATGCTCTGACCCAGCAAACTGCTGCCTGTCCCGGGCACGGCGTGCTCCAGTGGTGTCCGTGGGTCTGTACCCAAACCTTGGGCATCAGACCAGGGACTCCTCCTGCTGGAGCCAGGCAGCTGCCCTGGATGGGGCCGTGGTCATGGGCACCCCCAGCGGGCTGGCTGGCTTCCCAAAGGACACAGGGAGCCCCGCTGAGCTCCCCCAGCTCCTTCCCGAGGGGACAGATCCCGTGAGATGGGTCCGGGGAGACTCGGGAAGTGCATTTGGCACAGGGAGGGAGCGAGTTATTGCCAAGTGGTTCAGGCGCGGGTCAGGGAGAGGCTGTGGGCTCACGGCGGTGCTGGAGATTATCGAGCCTGGAGGATTCGTGCTCCTGCCCGGCTGCAAATCCCCGAGCCAGGGCTCCGTCAGGTGACGGGCTTCGATATTTATTCCGGCCGTCCTTCGCGTGGCAGCGGCTGCATAATGCAACGCCCGCGCGGCGTCTCAGCCGAGCACCCGGTGAGCCCTCCAGCGCGAGGGGATTTTCATCTCTGCTGAGATCTCCCGGCTTCAAAGTCTGCAGAATTTATTTGCATCCTTCATGAGGAGGAGAGCCAGGCATACGTGTGTTTTTTTTTTTTTTTTTTTTTTATTCTTCATCCTCTCCGTTCCTCCCCTCCCCACCTGCTTTCCAGTTTATTTGGTTAGCTCAGCGTCAGCACAATGATGTGGAAATAAAGCAAAGGAGCTTCGTCGTGGCCTTATTGCATATGCATAAATGAGAGAAATAGATCACCCGGCAATCCCTAGCTAGGCTACCATTAAGGGAAATTCTCCTGTGACCTTATAAACCCTGCTTTGCAAGGGTTTGTAATGAGTCTGCAGAAATTCATTCTGGGCACAAACAAGTCATCTGAGGTCTTAGACCCCGTGAGCACAAAGTAATAATAACACTAATTTCCCACCCACTCGGGCATGTGCTCCTGGAAGGCTTGGCTGTTTTTTACAAAGCAGGTTTTTCCTTGCTGGGGCTGTCACAGCGGGTGGGAGCGAGGGTGAGCGGCTGCGTCCCCACCTTGGAGAGCCTCGTGGAGCCTTCCCCTGGTGGGGCTGGGGGCTGTGGGGTTGTAACTCTGCTCCAGCAGCTGCTCGGCTCCTCACCTCATCGTGAGGCTGCACCCATCCCTTCCTCCACGCACATCTGACCCTGAGAGCAGAGATAGCCCAGGTCTGAGCAGGAGGGATGGACTGATAAAAAATCCTGCAACATTCCGTGTTCAGCCTCAAGATTATATATTTTAACTTTTTGCTGGAAACCAGGGCGGTTTTGGTTCAGTGGCAGAAGCTGACGTTTCTCTGAAGAATGCGCTGCCTTTTGGTGCAGTGGGTTTATTTTTTGTAGTGCTCCCTGGCCCTGCTCAGAGCCAGAGGCATGGCAAGGCGAGTTGGCACCGATGCTTAGGTCCGTGGTGGGATGTGCGCTGGGCATTGGCCTCGTGCTTTCCTCATGTAGATGATAATGAAGAAGGAAATTGGAGTGTGTGAAGGCATTGCTCTGCATGTGGCTCATCCAGGGCACAGTGGTGGGGTTGGGGAGTACCGGAGCTCCTGGCAGAGCACGGGGCCGCTAGGACGTGTTTGTGTTTCTCTGAACCCAGTGCTCACCCACCAGCTGTTACACATGCCAAAGCTTCATTTTTCATCCCAAACCAAGTTCATCAAACTGTGCTTTACTCCCCTTGTACTCACTACTTGCCCTCGATCTGTTCTTTGCTCTCCTCTCCTTCCCCATTTTGCTCCACCTCGGGTGTGATCCGCTAACATCTGGCGTTGAAGGGCTGTGTGTGTGCACGGACAGCGCTGAGAGCAGGCTATCACATCTCTTTTTAGGCTGAAAAATGTTTGGGGCAGAGACTGTGCTAACGTTCACAGAGCATCTGGTCCTCTCCAGGTCCAATTCATCACTGTCTTGCAGTTTGCATTATTGTTCACACCAAGGGAAAGTGGGTGTGAAGCTGGAATAATAATGTTTCACACTTGCTTTGCATTGGTTTTGATACACAACAGCATTTTAACCTATCGGGAAAGGCAGAAAGCAACCGAGGAGACGGTGAAACTAGAAATTGAGGAGAAGCCTACAAATAAGGAGTTAATTACCTCTAGTGAAAGAAATACCCCTGGGGTCAACTCTGTACCAATGGCAAATGTAAAGTCAAGGTGGGATTTTTATATTTGAATGTAAGGGTTCAGGTTGTGCAGGAATTGGTGGGTCTGTGCATACGAGCAGGGCTCTGTAATGGTTCTCCTGACTTCTACCTGCCATAAATCTTAAAACCCCACCTCGAGCATCAGTGGGGAGCAGCGATGTTCTCCTGAGTCAGCAGAGAGCCCTGAGTGATGTCTCTGTAGCGTGATGTGCCCTGCTCATTACAAAAGGCACTGATGGGGACACTAGCCATTAAATGTTGTGGTTTCTAGTCAGTGTTGTAATCTCGTTAATGAAACCTAATGACAAATAAAAAAGAAGGAAAAAAAAAAAGAAAAAAAAAAAAGAAAGAATTTAATGCTACTTGGCGTGTCTGAAGTTGTGTGCTCGAGAACCGGTGCCTCTTGGTGTTAGGATGGTTGGGCTTCCCAGGAGTCTTTCAAGTAACATGTCTTTCGCTGATTTGGACTGACGTGCCTTTTGTTCTGTTCCTGCTGGGTGTTAAACAAGATTTAAGTCTCCTCAGTCCCTATTTAGTTGTTGAAGAACATCGCAGCCAACACAAACGCAAACAGAACTGTCTGGTTGTTTGTTTATGCAACAGATCATTAGAAAGTCTGTAGGAAAAAAAAATGTTCTGGTCTGTTAGATAATTAATCTGCATTTTAAGAATTGTCTAAAGACATATTTGCAAGCTAGTCCATTGAGCTGCTGTTATCTAGTCAATAATCCCCATATTTAATAGTCCCTAAGAATGTATTTCCATAATGTGCTGCAAACAGTTGAGAAATCTGCATCCTTTTTGTCTTAAGATGTCAGCGCTCGCACATTTCCTATGACAAATTTTTTTCCCGACGATTGGTGGAAAAATCCAGGCGTGTTAGCTTCCAACTGGTAGGGCTGAGAAGAGGGAGAGAGGAGGCTTCTTAAAGCAAAACCCGGCTCCGTGTGCCCTTGAAAATGGAGGGAGTTTGGGATTTTCATCTGGTGTTGGGTGCCGGAGCCCTGGCGGTGCTGCCCAAAATGTCCTGGTGGGTTTGGGGTGTGGGTGGGGGATTTTGGAGGTCTTTCCTTGACCCACGGGTGTCAGAGCAGCAGGGGCTGTAGGTGCAGGTATGAATGCTTTGCTTTAGGAACACAAAGCGTGGTTTGGGACCCAGCCTGCCAAATGAGCTCCCTCGTTTTGCTTTGGGCCCTGACAGCGATGAAATTCGCTCTTGGTATTGGAGCAGGCTCTGGGTTTGGGGTTTGTGCGGCACAACCCATGAAGCTGCGCTCAGGTGATGAGCGTGAGGGTTTTTGAGCAAGGGCGTGAAGTTTAGTGGAGTTATCAGTTGTTTATTGTAGGGTAGAAAGGGTAAATGTGCAGACAACTCAGTGTGTGGCTGGCATGTGATAATTTACTAATCCCCGTTAACGAGAGCAGGGAGTAAAACCCACACTTGGAGAGAGGAACCCCTGGGAGCTGCCGCGTCAAGGTGAGAAGCTGGAGCTTAATTTCATTATCTTATCACTAACTGGCTGGTCCTACGCCGTGGTGTGAATTCTCGGGGAGTGTTGGAGCTATCTTTGGCAGCCCAAGTAAAGAAATAATGAATCCAAGTCAGGAGAGCATTGTGTGCAGTTCTGGTATCTGTACTTTAAAAATGATGTTGGCAAACTGGTGAGAGATAAGAGAAGAACTACAAGGATGATTTGAGGTCTGTAAAGCATGCTGGAGAGAGAGGCTGCAGCTCAATCTGTGTCTTTTAATGAAGAGAAGGTTAAGGGGGGATTTGATTGCTGTCTGTAAATACTTAACCAGGGCAGGAGGCTCCACGAGCCGAAGGTTCAAAGGCAGGACACGGTTCTGTGGCTGGATGCTCGGGATAAATCAATTCAGATGAAGAAAAACAAAGGCCTGTTTTATTTTTGTACTGCTTTATCGTTAGGCACAGGGGCGAATTACCTGTGACTTTGGGATATTTGGTGTTTTTAAATTGAAATGATACATCTGCAGGAGCTGCGTTGGGTCAGCAGCATGCTGTGGTGGCTTGCTTTGGGAAAACTCAGCAGGAGTAAATAACAAATAAAACAAGGTTTTCAAAGTGGTTGTTTTTGGCCTTCAAATCTTTTAATTAATTTTTTCTTATTTTTTAAGGCAGAAAGCCACACGCA